TTTAATGAAGGGGACCGAAAAGAAAGGGTGTCCTTTCTCTGCCGCTCTCGGATCGCGTTTCCTTCGCCCAGGAATAAAACAAAACGTTGCCTCTCTGCTTGCAAAGTGCCCGAAGCCGCATTGAAGACTTTGGATTCCCGTCAATTATACAATTAGCGTGTGGAAGGAAAATGAGGGCGTGGGGGGAAGGAAACGAAGAAAGCCTTCCAAACGCAGAATCAGCGGAAAAAAGAAAAAAGGGGGGGGGTGGTGGTCAGTCAGGCCAGATTGGCAAGTGGGGGCCATACACGGATGTGCAGTTTCACATCCTCTCTTCCAACCCTTCTCTGCTCACCTTTCCCCCCCCCCTCCTCCTTTTTCCTTTCTGCCGCTGATTCTGCGTTTGGAAGGCCCGGCTTTCTTCGTTTCCTTCCCCCCACGCCCTCATTTTCCTTCCACACGCTAATTGTATAATTGACGGGAATCCAAAGTCTTCAATGCGGCTTCGGGCACTTTGCAAGCAGAGAGGCAACGTTTTGTTTTATTCCTGGGCGAAGGAAACGCGATCCGAGAGCGGCAGAGAAAGGACACCCTTTCTTTTCGGTCCCCTTCATTAAAACAATTCCTGGCAGCCACCTGACAGCAACCAGTGCCATCTGTTTTGTGCCAATGCCTTTCTGCATCCTCCTTTGGCAGTGCCACCTTTTCCTCTCTGCACTTCTTGCAAATCCCACCGGATTTATCCTGTTGCCTACCCCACCTTTGAATTTTGATAGTGTCGAAGGTGTGGCTGTGAGGCTGGCCGTTCCCGGTCACTCCCGTTGTGCCAGGTGGCACCCGGGGCCGTGCCTCCCCAGAAAGCCCCTCTTGGCAGAGGCAGCTCTCCCTCCGGGGCTTCTCATCCAGTGGGCAAGGCTGCAGGCTGCGTCTCCAAGAAAGACACGGCGCAGAGGGAAAGCTGGGAGCTTCAGCTTTGGGGGGCTGGTGAGACCTCTGTGCTGCGTGATGGTTCTTGGAGGGGGGGGACTGAGATGAGGGAGGCGGGGGGAAGCCGCTTCTGGCTCAGTGGGAGCCACGCTGCCTGATCCCAGCTGGGCCTTGTTCAACCTCAGAAGCCCCCAGAGAATGCCAGCTGGGCAGGGAGCCTGTGCTTGGATGGTGCCACTGCCAGAATCCTAGCTGGGGTGGAGAGGTGGGGGGGGGGGCTTCTGCCCACCAGGGCAGCAGCAGCAGCAGCAGCAGCCTCCCCTGGCTGACCTGGAAAGCAGGCTGGGTGGGAGACCACCAGGCCCTGAGAGAAGGCAAACTGATACGCCCCGAGGACTCTCTGGGTGCAGCCAGAAAGCTTTTGTTTTCCCTAGCCTAGAATCTCTCCCCGTTTCTCCAGCTGCCCAGCTGGGAGCATTTGCAGGAACTCCGGGGCATCCATTTGGAAGGAGAAAGCGGCTGGTGCTAACAATGATTAACTGTAAATGAGGAAACACTCTTTGGTGGTTCCTGCCACGGAAAAGAAGGAGGACGACGACATTCAGTCCTTTGGGCAACTCTGGTCTTTGCTTTCGCTCCTCTTCTGGGCTTCCGTCGGGCGATTATTCTGATTTTTTTAAAAAAAACTTTTTAGTGCATGCTAAACCTTTCCTAGGCCGTGTGGTTTTTTGTCTAATTAGGATTTGTTAAAATTGTGTCTGGGGTTCCATTTTAGTCTTGGCTTCATTTCTGGAAGGCAGCTACTCCACAACAGAAGTCATCCAAAACAGAGTTTGCCAAGTAATACCTGGTGGTGCGACTGAACGCTTGCAAGAGGCTTTTCCCATGGAACTGGAGCCTGTGTGTGTGTGTGTGTGTGTGTGTGTGTGTGTGTGTGTGTGTGTGTGTGTGTGTGTGTGTGTGGGTTTTGTTAAGTTTTTTCCCCTTTTTCTGTTATTTTAAAAGCAATTTAAAAATCATATTAAATCGGTTGGGAAAGTTACTCCTGGTAGTTCACTCCAACAGTTTTCAAAGCTGTAGCTGTCCTCAGGTTGTCCCCAGCCATTCTTCTCCAGCTGTGTTGGACTGCAGCTCCCATTCTCCACAGTGAAGGGAACCATCACGCTAGAAGATGCCCAGAGGCAGAGATTGGGAAAAAGGTGGTGCAGCAGCTGCTTTGAGTACTTGTGACTTCATGCACACAGAGCCACATAGTTTGCCTGTTTCCAGGCTGTTCCCCCCCCCCTGTGGGATTTCACAGTGGTCTCCTGTCCAGCTGCTAAGCAGGAACCCCCCCTGTCTTTTTCCAGACCTCCAGCTGGTGCCGCTTCTTACGGCACGAATGGAATAAACCTGCAAAAAGGAAGGGAGCTTCCCGGGAGCAGAGTTGTTGGGGGTTGCGATGATTCCCAGGAAAATCGGAGGGATTTTTTTTTTCATTCCAAAGAGTTTTTTTTTTGGGGGGGGGCACTTCTGAGCAGAAATGGCTCCGATAATTTTAATTTCCCCAAATGTTGGAAAGACAACAGGGCAGATTTTAACGTCCTCCCTCCTTCTGCACCTGCTGCCTTGCCAGGAATACTCTTCATCTCCGATCCCTTGTCTTTCTCCAGATCCCCTTTTCCCACTTGGGTCTCGTGAGCAAGCCCAGCCTGGGGCCTTCGTCAGCGGAGGAGGAGGAGGAAGGGAGCCACTGAGCCCCCCCGAGAGACGCTGAGGATGGCCCAGTCCAGGTCCAGCAGTGGCTCCCACTACGCCCTGACAGCCATTGGGCTGGGGATGCTGGTCCTCGGAGTCATCATGGCCGTCTGGAACTTGGTCCCGGGCTTCGGCCTCAGCGCCAAGCCTCACCCGGCCGGCGGCCACCATAACGAGACCGAGGTCAACAAGGGGCCCCTGCACAGGAACAAGACCTTCTCGGTGGCCTACGTCCTGGTGGGGGCCGGCGTCCTGCTGCTCCTCTTCTCCATCTGCTTGACCATCCGGGACAGAAGGAAGCCCAGGCACCGCGAGGACGACGACGTCCGGATACGTCCGCAGCCCTCGGTCGAGCGGCCTCCCCCGGAGGACAGGTGAGCAGGGAGGGCCCCTTCCCCACCCAGAGTCACCTGGAAAGAGTCACCGCCCGTCTGCATCACGGAGTCTCTTTTGAACCCCAATCCCCGGCATGTCCACGTCACGGTCTCGGCCACAAGCAGGGCGCCGTGAAGCTGAATCCCCTTTGGCCACCAAAGACCCCACCAAAGGCAGCATTTCCTCTCTGTGAGTGGCCGAAGCTTAGCGTCCGGCGTGTAACAGCCTCCCTCCTCCCAGGGACCCCGGCCAGCTCTGGGACCCAGATCAATGCAGGATGGGGCTCAGCCGAGCCTCCGCTCTGACTGGCGTGGAAGGTACTGGCGTGTTCCTTCAGAAAGCTGTGCTGGCCTTCTGGCTGGGCCACACTCCCTCCACCTGAGGCGCTTTCTCCAGGGGCCACTGGGGGTGAGGGGTCCCGGGGGTTGCAGCCAAAGAGCAGGAGACACACCAGGCCCCGGCCTCTGGCCCGAATCTCAGTGACCCAGCCAGCAAGCCTCCCCCTAACCTCTGAGGGTGCAGGCAGAGAATTCCCCCCCCCCCCGCATCGCCTGTCTAGAACAAGCCGTGGTTTCAAGGCCTCGCAGGCTCCTCCGGCCGTCCTCCCATCCTGCGCCAGGCCCAAGGGAAGAAACCCACATTAAGCCTCCATCCACGTGGGGGCATGTCCTGCTTTTACTGCCTGGAGGGATGAGGGAGGCCAGGGCAGCCGGGTGCAGGCAAGCGAATGGTTTCCCCTTGGCTGCCTGCTCTTTGCTGGGAGGGGGGGAGAAAGCCGCCCCCCCAAGTAGCAAGGGGGATTGGAGGGCAACAGTCTCCCCACTGACTGCTGGTGTGTTGCCCAACCCTCCTTCCAGGCATTTTCAGGGCATTTTAAGAGGGGGGGGGGAGGAGGGGAGGTGTGAAAGGGAGGGACGAGCACTCACCTCTCCCAACGTCCCCTCCCGCAGCCAAGAAGAGGACAACGAGAGCCTCTCCCGGTACTACGTGCCCAGCTATGAGGAGGTGGTCAACGGGCTCTACCCGCAGCAGCCCCGGCTGGAGGCCGAGGGTGGCGCCCGCATCAGCATCTCCCTCCCTTCCTACGAGTCCCTGACGGGGCTGGATGAGAGCCTCCCCACCAGGCCCAGCCCCACGGCAGCAGCAGGGACAGCAACGGGGGAGGCCCCCGGGGGGCAGCGCCCGCCCGCCCGGCAGAGCTCCCGCCTCAGCAAACGCCTGAAGCCGCTGAAAGTGCGCCGGATCAAGTCGGAGAAGCTGCACCTGAAGAACCTCCAGCTGGGCGGCGGCACCCCTCCCGCCCGGGTCACCATCGAGCCGCTCACTCCCCCTCCCCAGTACGACGAGGCTCCTCCTAAGCTGCCAGATCCCCGGGAGGGGGAGCCCTGAAAACGCACCGGAGGGACCCCTAAGGGGCAGGAAGCCCCGGAGAGGCTTCTTCAGAACAAGAGGGGTGGGGGTTGTGTGCAAGCCAGAAGACCCCCTCCTCAGAAACCCCCCCCCCATGGCTCAGCTGGACTTGCTTGCCCAACTGGACAAACGGGGTCAGGAGAAGATTCGATGACGCAGCCTTTCAGACGGCCTTCGTCCTCGTGAGCCTTCCTGGCCCACCCGGGATTTAGGAAACGCCCCCCTTTTCCCTCCTCCAAGGGACTCCCCCCCCATCAGACTCAGACCCTTCCTCCGTCTCTTTCCTCCGACCTGCGTGGATGGACAGTTTGGGAAGGCTGCCAGATCCCCTCTGGAAACCCGGCTCAAGGCGGGGGGGGGGGGGGGGGGGTTTTT